CATGAGGTGCGCTGGCATCCATGGCATTTATTTTTATTTTTTAAGAACACTTTAGAAAATATGTATATATATAGTTTTATTGATGTCATAGCACAAGGGAGAGGGAGAGAGAAACATCCGCGATGAGAGAGAATCACAGATCGGCTGCCTCCCGCACGCCCCACGCTGGGGATGGAGCCCGCAACCCGGGCCTGTGGCCGGGCCGGGAATCGGACCCTGACCTCCTGGCTCCTAGGTGGACGCTCAGCCGCTGAGCCGGCCACCGGCCTCTTTTCTTCTTATAAGGACACCCGTCCTGGGCGTCAGGGCCCCATGAACCCGGGATGACTCATCTGAGAGCCTGAACTAATTATATCTGCGAGGAGGCTGCGTCCAAATAAGGCCCCGCTCTGAGGCCCCAGGTGGACGTGAATCCTGGGGGACACCCTCTGACCCCTGGCAGCGTGAGTGCCCGGCCCTGGCGCCCCCGGGACGCCGGGTGCAGCTCCGACCCCGGTGCCTGGGCTCCCGGGAGCGCGACTGGGTCCTGAAAGCCGCTCCCTCTGCTGCAGGCGGGCGGCTTGCTCGGCGGCCACGGCACCGTGACAGCTGGACCGGCCGAGACGAGCGGCGTAGAGCCCGGGCCGGAGGACACGGAGGAGAACGCGTGCGAGAGGGCGCGGGCGCGGGCGCGGGCACAGGAAGGCCCGCGAGAGGCCGCTCCTCGCCCGCCGGGTCCTCGCCCGGAGGTGACGCGGGTCCGGGCTTCCTTCCGAAGCCGTGCGTTCGTCCACAGGATGTCCCCTCCCTGGCCTCGCGGCCCTTGTCCCTCAGGCCTCCCCACCGGGCTGACGCCTCACGGGTCTGGGAGGCCCTCCTTCTGGCACAGAAGTCACACGCCTGTGGGCGGCGGGAGGCCTCCGGGCACCCTGCCCGCCCCGTACACGCGACACCACAAGGGCGGAGCTGCGTCCCTCCTCACAGAGCGTGAGGCCACGCTCCCCGGGGGGCCACGGAGGTTGGGGTCCATTTTACTTTATTTTTAAATTTATTTATTTTTTAAAATATATTTCTTTATTGATTGCAGAGAGGAAGGGAGAAGGAGAGAGAGATTGAAACTTCGATGACAGAGAGAATCATGGACGGGCTGCCTCCGTCACGCCCCGCACTGGGGATGGAGCCTGCAGCCCGGGCCTGGGCCCTGACTTGGAAGCAGACCTCCTGGTTCGCAGGGCGACACTCTAACCACTGACCACACTGGCTAGGCCTACGGGGCTCGACCTGGTGGGAGCGGGCACCAGCCCTGACCCAGGGCCCGGCGGACATGACAGCACCCCTTGCCTCTTGTTAAAGGTTAACCCTCGGCTTCCAGCCGGCGGGCGCGCCCCCAGCGTTTATAAAATGTGCAATTCCTGGCGGACTGTTTAGTCAGGGGCACTGACCCCTTTCCCTTCGGTTGTTAAAAAAATAAAGCCAACAGCCAACAAACAGCCGCCCAGGGCGCGTGATTCACAACGAGACCTAGTGTTTTGGTCAGATCGGCAAAGCGTGTATTTCTCGGTGCCGTGTGTGTGAGTGTGTGCCGTGTATATGTGTGTCGTGTGCGTGTGAGTGCCGTGTGCATACGTGCCGTGTGCGCATACGTGGTGTGTGTGCGTGCTGTGTGCCATGTGTGCGCGCTGTGTGCTGTGTGCGCGCGCTGTGTGTGTGTGCCCCGTGTGCGCGCGCTGTATGTGTGTGTGTGTGCGCGCGCGCGCGCGCCGGGAGAGGGAGAGGCTGGCGATCGCTGGGCGAAGCCTCTGGGGGAGGCAGCCCCGGGCCGGGGGTCCCTGCGGGCGGAGCCGCTGTCCCGTTTCGCACGGCCTTGGCGACCCCACCATGTGTTCCTGGGACGCGGCCACGGCCGCCGAGGACGGCTCCTTGGGCGATAGTCCTTGTGACAGATCCGCCCGCTGCCATCGTCGGGGCAGGCGGGTGGGGGTCTTGTCACCTCCCTCCACGGGGGAGGAAGGGGCGGTGGCCGCGTGGCCAGTCGGGAGCGGGAGGGGAGGCCAGGCGGCGGGCTGTCTGGGAAGGGACAGAGCTCGTGCTGGGCTTTGCCGGCCCCCTGGTGCTGTCTGAGCGGCTCGGCTCCGCTGTCGTCACCGTCCGTCGATGCCACGTGCCCGGCCGCGTGGCTCAGGGGCTGAGCGTCAGCCTATGAACCAGGAGGTCAGGGTTCGACTCCCGGTCAGGGCACAGGCCCGGGTTGCGGGCTCCATCCCCAGGGTGGGGCGTGCAGGAGGCGGCCGATCCATGATTCTCCCTCATCATCGATGTTTCTATCTCTCCGTCTCCCTTCCTCCCTGAAATCAATAAAAGAATATTTTTAAAAAGAACAGAAAAGTAGGCTAAGAGCTAAGAAATGAACGTGGATGAAATTTTCATTCTTTTCCGTCACGTGGTCGCTGAGCCACTGCCCGGCCGTACTCTGCATTTTGAAAACATTTATGCTTCACGATGAGTCACGAAAACATAGGCAAGGGAGTACCTGGCAGACCGCGCCCGATGCTTCCGGGCGATTCCGTGCTCAGAGCTCACGCGGCCGGTCGCCTGCAGCGCGTGCCGAGGGCCTGCTGGGCGCCACGCACGGCCCAGGCCCGGGGAGGCGGGGGACACGGCAGACGTCGGCCGGAGCTCCCAGACCGTTCACAGTGGACGGGTTCGTGGGCCGTGCAAACCTCCTGCCACGTGCAAGCCGCCACGTGTGGCCTCATGTGTCCCCTGCTTGGTGTTCTTTGTTGTGTTTTTCTTTTAAAATATTTTTTTATTGATTTCAGAGAGGAAGGGAGAGGGAGATGAAAACGTCAGTGCTGAGAGAGAGTCATGGATCGGCTGCCTCCTGCATGTGCCCTGACTGGGAATCGAACCGTGACCTCCTAGTTCAGTGATGGCGAACCTATGACACACGTGTCAGAGGTGACACGCGAACTCATTTTTTGGGTTGATTTTTCTTTGTTAAATGGCATTTAAATATATAAAATAAATATCAAAAATATAAGTCTTTGTTTGACTATGGTTGCAAAGATCAAAAAATTTCTATATGTGACACGGCACCAGAGTTAAGTTAGGGTTTTTCAAAATGCGGACACGCCGAGCTCAGAAGGTTCGCCATCGCTGGCCTGGATGGTATCTCAGGGAGGACAGGCCAGGGGGTCCAGACCCCAAACCGCAGGACCAGATGCGCTGGGGAGGAGGGTCGCCCGGGGCGAGGTCCCGCCCGCAGGGATTGTCCCGCGAGGCCTGGGGCTCTCCGCCTGGGGACCTCCTGGACCTGCCCCGCGTCCTTGCTTGGCTCCGTCCGTCTGTCTGTCCGTCCGCCCGCAGCAGCTTTCCCGGCAGCTGGCTCCCTCCTGTTTCTGAGGGGTGTCCATTGTTCGGGGCCGCGGCCGTTTACCTGTTGATGGCCACTTGGGTTATTTTAAGACTTGTTTTGAAAGCGCATTCGTTGTTGGCGGACGTGTGGATACGTCCGGCTTCCTTCCTGGCCTTTGCCCGGCTGAGTCCCTGGCCAAGACCCCCCCCCCCCCCCACCACCACCGCCCGGTCTGTTCCTCGCAGAGCCCCGCTCAGGTGCCGGCGCCCAGCTCACTGCCCCCTGTCCGGGCGGCCCTCCTGCCTGTGCAGGGAAGGGTTTGACAAGAGGGGGTGGCGTCCAGCCCGGGGTCACCCCTCTCCCCACCGGAAGGTCACCCCTCTGGGAGGTGATGCCAGGGTAGCTGGTGAGCCAGCTGTGGCCTGAAGATGTGGGGCGTGGCTCAGTGGTTGAGCATCGACCTATGGACCAGGAGGTCATGGTTCGATTCCTGGTCAGGGCACGTGCCCGGGTTGCAGGCTCGAACCCCAGCGTGGGCCGTGCAGGAGGCAGCCCATCCATGATTCTCTCTCATCACTGATGTTTCTCTCTCCCTCTCCTTTCCTCTGACATCAATAAAGATACATTGAAAAAGAAGCTCATGAAATGTGGGGGGGGATCTGGCAGAACTGAGCCCTCAAGGCTGCAGGAGCCTGGAAGGGGGATGGCCGCTGATGCCTTTGGTTTGGGGGTGACCCCATCAGTGCCCCACAGTCCCCCCCCCCCACATACCAGTGGTCCTCTGGGTCCCAGATACCGCATCCACATTAGGACTGAGTGGGAGACAGGCCTTTCGCTCCCCACGCCTGGCACACAGGGACCCCCTCCCCCCGCCGCACGCCCCAATCTTGTGGCTTCACCTCACAGCCACAGGGTCAGCGGGACTCCGTCACCGTGGTCCCCGCTCCCCCTCCCCCCACAAGCAGGATCTTCCTGGACAAAGGTCAGGGTCAGGCCTGCGGAGGCGGCTCACGCACGTAGGCCCTCGTTCCCAGGGAGGGGGGAGCAAGGACAATCCTAACACTTGTCACGGCTGGTGGGTGGGGGGTGGAGGCGCTGCCCAGGGAGGGGTCCTGTGGTGAAGTGCTGAGCACAGCCCTGGCCGGTGTGGCTCAGTGGATAGAGCGTCGGCCTGTAGACTGAAGGGTCCTGGGTTCGATTCTGGTCAAGGGCACCTGCTCGGGTTGTGGGCTGATCAATGAGTCTCTCTCAATTGCCAGGGTCCCCTGATCGGGCCGTTGTTATTAAAACACACAAAAGCCCAGCTGAGTGTGGCTCAGGGGTTGAGCGTTGACCCAGGAACCAAGAGGTCACCCTCAATTCCCGGTCAGGGCACAGGCCCAGGTTGCAGGCTCGATCCCCAGTGGGGGGCGTGCAGGGGGCAGCCGATCCGTGATTCTCATCATTGATGTTTCTATTCCCCTCTCTCCCTCTCTGAAATCAATAAAACACACACCCACACCCACACACACCAGCTGACTAGATTCCCTATTAACTGTAATCGTGCAAACCCCTTTCCAGATGTGCTGGGGGGCCGGGGTGTCGGCCGGGTCTGTGCGGCGGGTGGGCGGGCGCGAGGCCCTGGTCGCCCTCCTCACTCCTCACGGTGCGTTTGTCTCGCCCCCAGAACGTGCGCATCGACCCCAGTAGCCTGACCTTCAACATGTGGAAGGAAATCCCCGTCCCCTTCTACCTCTCCGTCTACTTCTTCGACGTCGTCAACCCCAGCGAGGTCCTGCAGGGCCAGAAGCCGCAGGTGCGGGAGCGCGGGCCCTACGTGTACAGGTGAGCAGGGAGGCGGCGGGGTGGGGGGGCGGGTGGGGCGGGGCAGACGGGATGGGGGGCTGCCATGCTGAGCCCCAGGGGTGACTCCAGAAGCAGGCCCTGGCTCGGGGACAGCGCGGGCGGGAAGTGCGCTGTCTGTTCCGTGCACAGTCGGGCTCTGGGCAACCAGGGGCGAAACTCAACAGCTGTGCCCGACGTCTGGGAGTCAGACACTCGAGTCAGAGTCAGTGGCAAGCCTTCACTCACTCACTCATCCAGTCCTTCACTCACTCATTCATTATTCATTTATTCAATCACTGATTCATTATTCATTTATTCAATCACTGATTCACTCACCCTTTTACTTATTGATTCGTTCATTCATTGATTCACTCATTCACTAGTCACTCCTTCAGTCATTGATTTTTTTAAAATATATTTTATTGATTTTTTACAGAGAGGAAAGGAGAGGGATAGAGAGTTAGAAACATCGATGAGAGAGAAACATCGATCAGCTGCCTCCAGCACACCTCCTACTGGGGATGTGCCTGCAACCAAGGTACATGCCCTTGACCGGAATCGAACCCGGGACCCTTCAGTCTGCAGGCCGACACTCTATCCACTGAGCCACACTGGTTAGCGCAGTCATTGATTCTTTAACTCACTCATTCAATTCACTCACTCACTCACTCATTTACTCATTTATTCATTGATTTGCTCACTCGTTCACCCAGTGGATTTCTGTGCTGTTCTAGGCACAGGGAGCCCGGAAATGGACAGAAGCACTGAGCTGCCTGCAGCCGAGGGGGGAGGGCGGGTGACGATGAATAAGTAAAATCCTATGTTAGTGTCGGGGAAGGGGGCCTAGGGCTGTGTCGGGTGCGGTACGTTAGGGCTGAGACGACCAGGTGGGCTCTCGGACAAGGTGACACGTGAGCAGAGACTCACGGAGGCGGACTGGCCAGGTGGAGGGGACGTGTCGGGCTTTGGGGCGCTCTCCTGGGCACCGATGCGCCTCGCATGTCCTGCGGTGGGCAGACGGCGGGAGGACGGACTCGGGGGGGGCGACCAGGCTCGGCTGTGGCACCAGCAGGTTGGAGATGTGCAGAGATGCGCAGGCACGGGCACCCCAGGAAGCCAGGCGTCGCCCCACTCCCCTGGGCGCTGACCGGCCCCTCTCCGCAGGGAGTACCGGCACAAGGACAACATCACCTTCAACGACAACGACACGGTGTCCTTCCTCGAGTACCGCAGCTTCGAGTTCCAGCCCCACAAGTCCAACGGCTTGGAGAGCGACTACATCAACATGCCCAACATCCTGGTGCTGGTAGGCGCCCGCGGCCGCCCTCGCCACGCCCACTGCAGCGGCCCTTAGCCAGACAGGTTCCCCGGTGGGCTCTTCTCTCTCTCTCTCTCTCTCTCTCTCTCTCTCAATATATTTTTACTGATTTCAGAGAGGAAGGGAGAGAGAGAGAAACATCAATGATGAGAGAGAATCACTGACCGGCTGCCTCCTGCACGCCCCACACGCGGGATGGAGCCCGCAATCCGGGCCTGTGCCCTGACTGGGCGTTGAACCGTGACCTCCGGGTTCCTAGGTGGATGCTCAGCCCCTGAGCCCCACCGGCCGGGTGCCCCCGGGGCTCTCTGCCTTGAGGCCGGGCTTCAAGGCCCAGGGGATACAGGCCGGCCACCCCCAGCCTCTGACCCCAGCTGCCCCCTCGCTCTGCAGAGCGCGGCCATGATGATGGAGAAGAAGCCGATGGCCCTGAAGATACTGATGACCTTGGCCTTCAGCAGCCTGCGCCAGCGCGCCTTCATGAACCGCACGGTGGGCGAGGTCATGTGGGGCTACGACGACCCCCTCGTCAGCCTGGTCAACAAGTACCTGCCCGGCGTGTTCCCCATCAAGGGCAAGTTCGGGCTGTTCGCGGAGGTACGCGCGGCTCGGAGACCTTCCCTCGTCCTCCGTCCACACATCCCGGAGGCCAGTCGCCGGCTTTTTAAAAAAATATATTTTTTTGTTGCTAGCTAGTGTAACGGAGAGCTCCCGTTTCCAGCCACCGACTTGCCGTGGGGGCTGGCGGGGGGCCCTGGGGCCGCGGGTTGTCACTGGCAGAAAGCCCAGCTCCTGTCACTGGCTTAAATTAAACAGAGGAGTTACTGGCTCACGTACCTGAAAACCCAAAGGATGGGTTCAGGCACAGTTTGATCCAGGCTCCCGTGATGTGATTGGCGACGATAGCGCTGATCTGAGCTGCCTGGTTTTCCTTTCCTTTTTTTTTCCTTTTTCTCTTTTATTTCTTTTTTTCCAAATATGTTTTTATGGATTTCAGAGAGGGGAAGGGAGACGGGGGGAGAGAGAGAGAGAGAGAGAGAGAGAGAGAGAGCGCGCAACATCGATCAGCTGCCTCCTGCACACCCCCTACTGGGGACCGAGCCTGCAGCCAGGGCACGTGCCCTGACCGGGAATCGAACTGGCGACCTCTTGGTGCCTGGGTCCACGCTCAGCCACGGAGCCACGCCAGCCAGGCTGGTCCTTCTCCTCTCGATCCCCCGGCACTGGGATGCAGGGATTGCCTAGGACGAAACGGGGGGGGGGAGGGTTGCGAGCCAGCTCCTGGGTGCCCCCCCCCCACCCCCCGCGGCTCCTGAGGCTCACAGCTGCTGCTGTTCTCTGCTGTGTCCGCAGCTCAACAACTCCAACTCCGGGCTCTTCACCGTGTACACGGGGATCAAAAACTTCAGCCGCGTCCACCTCGTGGACAAGTGGAACGGGCTCAGCAAGGTGAGCGCCGGGGCCGCGGGCCGCCCAGCACACGCCTCTGCTTATAACCCAGGCAGATGGGAAGTGCGTGCGTCCCTCCTCACTGGCCCCTGCCCCGGCGCCCGGGCCCACGGGATCCCTGGTCACCACCCCGGCGCCCGGGCCCACGGGATCCCTGGTCACCACCCCGGCGCCCGGGCCCACGGGATCCCTGGTCACCACCCCGGCGCCCGGGCCCACGGGATCCCTGGTCACCACCCCGGCGCCCGGGCCCACGGGATCCCTGGTCACCACCCCGGCGCCCGGGCCCACGGGATCCCTGGTCACCACCCCGGCGCCCGGGCCCACGGGATCCCTGGTCACCACCCCGGCGCCCGGGCCCACGGGATCCCTGGTCACCACCCCGGCCGGGCCTTCCGCTGCTCCCGGTGCCATGCTGTTTCCCGTCACCGCTGACCCTCTGGCCTGGATGCCTCCGCAGGTCAACTACTGGCACTCGGACCAGTGCAACATGATCAACGGGACGTCCGGGCAGATGTGGGCGCCGTTCATGACCCCCGAGACCCCGCTGGAGTTCTACAGCCCCGAGGCCTGCCGGTGAGCGCCCGCCGGGGCCTGGGGGCTCGGCCTCTGTCGTGGCTCAGAGAGCGTGGGCTCCCCGGGCATTCGCCAGCCCTCGCGCCCTCGCAGGCTCCGTTGGTTCACCTGGAGGAGGGAGCCAGGCTCCGGCCGCGGCAGCTGGTACAGGGACAGGGCGAGGGAGGCAGCTGGTGCAGGAACAGGGCGAGGGAGGCAGCTGGGACAGGGACAGGGCGAGGGAGGCAGCTGGTGCAGGGACAGGGCGAGGGAGGCAGCTGGTGCAGGGACAGGGCGAGGGAGGCAGCTGGTGCAGGGACAGGGCGAGGGAGGCAGCTGGGACAGGGACAGGGCGAGGGAGGCAGCTGACCATGGGCGGCCGTGGGGCGTGGGTGGCCGTGGGCAGGAAACCATCGAGGCTGCGGGGGGCAGTGAAACAAGGCCACGATTGGTGCCGTCTGGCTGGGCTAGTTCCCACCTGGGTTTTGGGCGTGAGGACCTGGGTGCGTCCGCCTGGGCGCCTGGGTCTGGGGAGGTGCAGCTGCAGAGGCCGGCTCAGGGGCGCCCGGGCAGGGGTCCTGTCTGTCCCCCTTCCCATGGGAACTCCCCAGCGTGAGCAGGGACTCCCCTGCCTCCCGTGTGGGCGAGGCGCTGGGGACATGGCCGGACGGGATGGGACAGGTCCCTGATCCCCAGAGCTTGTGTCCTGGCTGGGGGCCCAGGCCAGTGTGCCCCGGGGGCAGAGCGGGAGGGGATTGTGCTGTGTGTATTCACTTTTTAAATTTTTATTTTAGTTTTAAAAAATATACTTTTTTATTGATTTCAAAGAGGAAGGGAGAGGGAGAGAGAGAGAAACATCCATGATGAGAGAGAATCATGGATCGGCTGCCTCCTGCACGCCCCACACTGGGGATCGAGCCCACAACCCAGGCCTGTGCCCTTACGAGGAATCGGAGCCACGCCAGTTAGGGCCACTTTAAAAAAATGTTTCTATTGAGTTTAGAGAAGAAGGGAGAGGAAGGGGGAGGGGGAGGGGGGGGAGGGGGAGGGGGAAACAGCGATGAGAGAGAATCACAGACGGGCTGCCTCCTGCTGGTGGCAGCGCCACGTTCTGGGGGTCACCCCACCCGTCTGTCCCCCCAGATCCATGAAGCTGATCTACGAGGAAGCCGGGGTGTTTGAGGGCATCCCCACCTTCAGGTTCAAGGCCCCCAGCACCTTATTTGCCAACGGGTCTGTCTACCCGCCCAACGAGGGCTTCTGTCCGTGCCTGGAGTCGGGCATCCAGAACGTCAGCACCTGCAGGTTCAGTACGTGTCATCGCCCGAGGGTGGGACGGTCACCCTGATCTCAGGCCCGAGGGTGGGATGGTCACCCTGACCCCTGACCTCAGGCCCCGAGGCTGGGATGGTCACCCTGACCCCAGGCCCGAGGGTGGGACAGTCACCCTGACCCCTGACCGCAGGCCTAAGGGTGGGACAGTCACCCTGACCCCAGGCTCAAGGGTGGGACGGTCACCCCGACCCCTGACCTCAGGCCCGAGGGCGGGTGGGTGAGGCCATACCTGCTCTGAGCGCCATCCCGGCCTCTGCGCCCTTGATAAGCCGTCCGGCCAGAGATAAGGCGGCGCAGAAAGATACTCTGAGGGAAGGAAGCCGCGTCTGTCAGTTGCCTGCGCAGCAAACTCCCAGGACCTCCGTCACCTGGGACGCAAACCGCGACTGTAAACAGCTCTGTGGCTCCCGTCCCGCGTCAGGTCCCCCGCCGCCCTGTGGCCGCGTCCTTGACCTCGGGGCAGTCCAGGGCCCTGCAGCGCACCCCAAAGGCGGGTTCCCTGGGGCCGCGTCCCCTCCCGAGCTCCTCCGGCCTCCACACCCGACCTGGGGCTTGGGAATGAGGCTCCGCAGGCCCCCTGCACCGCGTCCCGCGTCCCGCGTCCCGGAGGGAAAGACGCTGGTCCGATTGTTCTGGATCATCTCCCCGGGCGGCGAGTGGCCGTGCGGCTGTGGGCGGGCACAGTGCTCTCCGGCCTCAGCGGCTCCATGTGGACGCTTGGGGGCAGCTCCCCCCGCCGTTCCCTCAGCCAGGGGGGCAGCGGGCGGGCGGTGGGCCCTGCCTTGCCCGCCTTCGGGCTCGTGCGGGTGGAATCGGGGTGCGCTCTCTGTCTTTCCTCTTTCCGGGACCCTCCTGCCCCTTGTCTCCTCCGCGAGGCCCATCCTGTGGTCCTGGGAGGTGGGCGCCTTCTCCCGACTGTGTAGTGCTCCCCCGGGCACACCTCCCGTTCCTCGCCTCTTTTATGCTCGGGGCACCTGGTTTCTGGGGTTTTAAAACGTGACCTTTGGGGCGGCGGGGACGTGCCTGTGCGTGTCTCGACGCGTGGTCCTGCCTTCCTGTGGCATTTTATCTGGAGATAAGACACCCACCACCTCCCTTCCCGGGAGACAAGCTCTTGGACCCAGGGCCTCAGGCTCCACATATCTCCCCATCACAATCAAAGGTGATCCAGGCAATTAGATAGGCCAGACGCCCTAAAGCTATAAATTAATTAGCACTTGCAACCTGGGCGGTCCTCTCGGGCTGTTTGGTAATAAAATAGAAGGAAGCGCAGGCCTGGGTGCTGGCACAACGCCAGGTGGGCTGACTGTCCGCAGCCGGGCCGGAGCCGGGCGAGAGCCGGGCGAGAGCCGGGCAGGGGATGGCAGCCTGGCCCCACCCACTGCGCTCCCCCAGCCCTGGGGGTCTGGTGGAGATGCACCACCTTCAAGGGCCGGGCTGGGGACCGCCTCCCTCACCGGCAGCCCCTGCTGTGAGAAGGGGGCCCCGGCGTTCGCTCTGACGGGCTCCTCCCGCGGGGCAGACGGGAAGATGGGACACGGGTCGTCCGGATGGCGGGACAGCGCCTCGGGTGCGCGGTGGTGTCACAGGTGCCGGGAGGTGGCTGTGGAGACCAGGGGCCCACACGGGGAAGGAGGGTCTGGTCCCCGCGCTCTGTCTGTCTGTCTGTCTGTCTGACCGTCTCCAGGAGAGTGTCTGTTGGTGCTTCGAGGCTCAAGCAGCTTTCCAACACGCATCTTCTCTCTCTTTTTGTTAACCTTCACGCAGGGAAATTTTTCCCATTGATTTTCAGAGAGCGTGGAAGGGAGGGGGAGAGGCAGAGAGAGAGACATCGATGTGAGAGACGCGTCGATAGATCGCCTCCCGCCTGCCCTCCAACCGGGGCTGGGCATTGGACGTGCCACCCAGCACCCGCTGGTGAGCTGGCTGGCCTCTAACCACTGAGCACACCAGCCTGGGCCTCCTCGGGCTGAGGTTTGAGAGGCCAGCTCCATCTTTCCCGCGGGCACTCCCTGTCCGGCGGCACCGCCGTTGTCCTGACCTTGTCCTGACCTTGGGTGGATGTGCCAGGGTTGCCTCGTGGGTCAGCTGGTGGAGATGTCTGACCGCATGTTTCTGGGTGGGAATTTCCCGCTCAGGAGCCGGGTCAGGCCCCGCTCACACCCGCTAGCGTCCCTCCCGCAGACCGGCTGCCAGGCGAGAGCAAAGGTGTGTCTCTTCCCTCCCGTGGGCATCGGGAGACCTGGCCGCGGGCGTGCACACCGGAGCCCCTGTGATCCTGGCGGCTTGGCGATGCCCCCCTCCTCCCCCCCAAAGGTCCAATCTGGCTTCGATTCACCTTTGTAGCCTCAGCTCCCACAGCTCCCTCCATACCGTCTGCTCCCCGTGCCCCTCCCACCTCCTGCATCTGCCCCTGCCCCCCCTTCCTCCTGGAATGCCACCGCCCTCCACCCTCCATCCTCCGCCTGGCGCCTCCTCGTCCTTCCTCAGAAGGTGCCCGCGCCCCCGCCCCCGGCACAGAGCTCGGCCCCTGCTGGCTTCCAGACCGAATGGAGGGACCCTCTCTGTCTAGTCATTGTCGTTTGCATCGTGTCATCGTCGCAGCACGCTCCTCAGGGGGTGGCTGCGTGTCCTCGTCCCGCATCCCCGTGTCTGGCTCCGGGACTGGCATGAGTCTCGGGACGTGCCAGCGCCTCTGCCCGTCTGACGCCCCCTCTGCCTTCCAGACGCGCCCCTGTTCCTCTCCCACCCGCACTTCTACAACGCCGACCCCGCCCTGGCCGAGGCCGTGCTGGGCCTGCACCCCAGCGAGAAGGAGCACTCCCTCTTCCTGGACATCCACCCGGTGAGCAGCCACCGTCAGCCTGAGGGGGGCTTCTGGGGGGATTCCTGGTTGGTGCCCAGCCGGCCCACCCCTCCCCCAGGCACCAGGGGAGGGGGAGGGGGAGGGGGGAAGGGGAGGAGAAGCCCAGCTCGCTCTGGCTTCCACAGCTTCTGGGATATCAAACCGTCAAAGGTCCCTCCTTTGCTCCGACTCCATAGTTCAAGAGCTTGGTTATCTCTGTGTGAGGGAGGGATGTCTGTAAAAGGATCATAAGACAGTAAATTAATTAGGACTTATCAGCCTGCCAATTACCAGAGGCTGCCAACCTACCAGAAAGTTCTCCAGGTGCCAGCCGGCCCGGGATGCCTTGCAGATAATCGCCGTCGGGGGGATTCCAGCGAGAGCGAGAGCGAGGTCCCCTGGGTTCTCGCGGGGCCCTCATTCCTGTGGGTGGGTCTCCCTCCCGCCCCCACCCCCACCCTGAGGACCAGGCAGTTCCAGGGGCTGGCCTCTCCTCCAGGTCGGCGTGGAGGCCGGGAGAGGGAGAGGCCCTCCTCGTTCCTGGTGCTGTGGGCGCCGCGGGAGAGGAGCATTAGCCGGGGGCGGGAAGCTTCCGTCTGCCGAGGGCCGGGGGGCATTTATAACCTCCTTCGAGGGCCACACGTGAGGACCAGCTTAAACACCAGCCGCTGTATTTGGTCAAACGTGTTCTTTTGTTGTGGCTAATCCTCACCTGAGCATTTTTTCCCATCGATTGTTACAGAGAGTGGAAGGGACGCAGTGGGAAAGAGAGAGAGAGAGACATCGATGTGAGAGAGACACATGGATGGGCTGCCTCCCGCACACACCCTGACAGGGGCCAGGGAATTATCGGGCAGCCCAGGCATGCGCCCTTGACCGGGAATCGAACCCGCAACCATTCGGTGCACGAGCCAATGCTCTATCCCAGAGACACCCCGGCCAGTGCTGGTACAACACTTTTTAAATATATGTTTTTATTGATTTCAGAGAGGAAAGGAGAGGGAGGGAGAGAGGAACATCCATGAGGAGAGAGAATCATGGATCGGCTGCCTCCTGCACACCCCACACTGGGGACCGAGCCCACAACCTGGGCCTGTGCCCTGACCGGGAATCGAACCCTGACCTCCTGGTTCATAGGCCGATGCTCAACCACTGAACCGCACCAGCCGGTCAAACATTTCATTAACTCACCCCTAATGGCTTGGCAGGGCCTTACACAGCCCGAGGGCCGGACGGTCCCCACCCCTGCTCTAGAGTGGGTGGAGGGGGGCCAGGGAGCTGGGACAGGCCCGTCCGGAGCGCGACGGGGACAGGGACAGGGGGTTCGGCAGGTGTCCCTGGCGCCCGGGGCCAGGCCCTCACTGTGCGTGTTGCCGCAGGTCACGGGGATCCCCATGAACTGCTCGGTGAAGCTGCAGCTCAGCCTGTACATCAAGGCCGTGCAAGGCATCGGGTGAGTGGGCCGGGGTCTGCGGGAGGGGCAGCCCCTGGGTCCCTAATGGGAGTCGTTTCCCTAATGGGAGTCTTAGCTCTGCCGGGGGCCCCGCCCCAGGACCCCCACTCTCTCCTCCCATTGCCCCCCCACCCCCCCGGAAGTTTCCGGCTGAGTTGCGTGCCTGGCGCCCAGCGAGGGACAGAAACAAAACCCGGGCAAAACCAAGTGTGTGACAAAGGAACCACCCGACAGCGTTCTCCGCTGTGACAGCTCACTTCGTGGGGGGGGGGGGGGGAGGTTAAGCACTGATTTTGTTTTCAGTTTTCATTTCTTAAAATATATTTTTATTGGTTTCAGACAAGGAAGGGAGAGGGACAGAGAGAGATAGAAACATCAGTGAGGAGAGAGAATCATGGACCGGCCGCCTCCTGCACGCCCCACCCTGGGGATCGAGCCCGCAACCCGGGCCTGTGCCCTGACCAGGGATCGAACCCTGACCTTCTGGTCCACAGGTCAACACTCAGCCCCTGAGCCAGGCCGGCCAGGCCTAGGATGTCTTTTCCATTGATTTTTAGAGAGCGAGGGAGGGAGGGGGAGAGAGAGACACATGGATGTGAGAGACACACTGAGTGTCTGCCTCCCACATGTCCCCCCGCCCCCCCCACCGGGGCGGGAATTAACCTGCAACCTGCCAGGTGTGTGCCCTTGAGCGGGAATGGAACCCAAGACCCTCAGGGCCTCCCTGGGCTTTTCATTGGCCCATACGGGGGCTGCTCAGAGTTCAAGCCACAGAACCCATGGCGGGGGGGCGGCGGTACCCTGACCTTCCTGGGCTTCTGTGTCCCTGTGACCCGAGGGGGGCCACACCGCGGCCCGATGTCCCTGCCGCTGGGACAGCCTTCTCGGGGGAGCTGGTCTCCCCGCGGTGCTTCGCGCCCCCTGGAGGGCGGAGGAGGGACGGCATGGGACCTGGGCTGCCTGCTGGGAAGGTCTGTCCCCATCCAGTGCTGTTTGCCCTGAACTCCTCCCGTTTTTAGAAACACAGGCGTGTTTCTATGGTGTCCTCCCAGCCTCAGCTCTGCGGGGGGCGCTGTGAATCGCTGCCCTGCAGGAGGCTCGGCCGGCGGGTGCCCCAGGGAGTGTGGGGAGCTGTGGCCAGGCTGTGGCTTTTTGTGCTGAGCCTGCCCCCCCCCCCCATCTGTGCAGCGGCCCTCTCAGCACCCCGTAGGGAGGGGCTCAGACCAGCTCACGGGACGATAATGGTCAACTCGGGGCGGGGCACTTTTCCCAGACTGTGTGTTTCCCTTTTTTAAAATATACGTTTATTGACTTCAGAGAGAGGAAGGGAGAGCGAGAGAGAGAGGGGGGAAGGGAGAGAAACATCAATGATGACAGGGAATCATGGATCGGCTGCCTCCTGCATGCCCCCCACTGGGAACCGAGCCCGCAACCTGGGCCTGTGCCCTGACCGGGAATCGAACCCTGATCTTCGTGGGTGGATGCTCACCCCCTGAGCCCGCCAGCCGGGCTGGCTGTGAATTTTTAATTGAAAAAGATCTTGTCTGGTTGCCAGGCGGCTCCCTGCCAGGAAATGCCCGCCCCTCCAGCCCGCACCGTGGAGTCGTTGCTAGAGCCCTCCTGCCCCCAGCGTCCGACGGCGTGTCCGACCGCGTCCGCACCCCACGGATAATGCCGTGAGGAGACTTCTCACTGGCTCCGTCTCCCTTATTTCCAGGCAAACCAGGAAGATCGCGCCCGTGGTCCTGCCGCTGGTGTGGTTTGAGGAGGTAAGGCCGCCTGGCGGTCCCTGCGCTGGGCTCCTCGAGAGCGGCATCTGGTGCCACAGTGGGGAGGCCGTGCGGGCACTTGAGGCTGGAGGAGGGTGGGGACAGGGCAGCCACGGTGGGACCTAGAACAATCCAGAGAAACCTCGCACGTCGCAGACAGGAACTTCCCCCAAACGGGGCAGCCCGAGCCCCAGGCCAGGGTACTTTCTGAAAGGACCGCCACTGCTCTCAGGGCGTCAGCTCTGCGTGGGAACTGCTTTCCTCCCGGCTTCTCAGGGCTCCTCTGGCCTCGCTCGTTTTGTGAGAAGGGAAAGCGAGAGGGCAACGCTGAGTTGTTCCATCCATTGGTTGATTCTTCATGTGCCCCCTGACCAGGGATCGAACCCGCAACCCTGGTGTATCGGGATGACACTCTAACGGAGCTACCCTGCCCAGGGCCTGGCCCGGTTCATTTTTTAAAAAATATATATTCTATTGATTTTTTACAGAGAGGAAGGGAGAGGGACAGAGAGTTAGAAACATCGATGAGAGAGAAACATCGATCAGCTGCCTCCTGCACACCCCCTACTGGGGATGTGCCCACAACCAAGGTACATGCCCTTGACCAGAATCGAACCTGGGACCCTTCAGTCCGCAGGCCGACACTCTAGCCACTGAGCCAAACCGGTTAGGGCTGGCCCAGTTCACTGTAATCCTCACTCGAGAATATGTTTTTCCATTGATTTTTTTTTTTTTTTTGAGAGAGAGCGTGGAAGGGAGGGAGGGGGAAAGAGAGAGAGAAACATTGATGTGAGAGACACGGCGCCTTCTGCACATGCCCCGACCAGGGCCGGGATCATACCTGCGATCCCGGTACACACCCTTGACCAGGAATCAAACCTGTGACCTTTTGGTCCAGGAATCGAAACCTCCAACCACTGAGCCACACAGACCAGGGCCTGGCCTAGTTCATTTTAAACCAGGGTGATCTCCTGCCCAGCTGGGGTGGCTCAGTGGTTGAGCATCAACCCATGAACCAGGAGGTCACCAGTTTGATTCCCGGTCAGGGCACAGGCCCGGGTTGGGGGCTCAATACCCAGTAGGGGGCGTGCAGGAGGCAGCCAATCAGTGATTCTCTGTTATCATTGATGTTTCCCTCTCTCTCCCTTCCTCTCTGAAATCAATAAAAATATATTTAAAACACAGAACAAAACAAAAAAACCTAGAGTGAACTCCGGGCCAGAACAGGCAGCCTCAGAATGTCAAGTTCACGGCCCAGTCTGATACGGGCCGGCCAGGCTCCTCCTGTCCTGGGGGCCACCCTCCTGGAGACCCTCCGAATCCACCCGAGTTCAGTGGGTGGGGATAGTGATGGAGAGGTTTTCACCAGCCAGGTGTGGAAGTTCTCGCATCACCGTGCCCTCGTCCCATTGGCCAGCATGCGGTCACATGGCCCTGCCAACCGCAAGGGAGCCTGGGAAATGTAGTCTCTCCGTGTGGCCCTGGAAGACATGGAGGCCCCTGCAGGCTTGAGATGGGGGAGGGGCCTGGGGGACAGGGATGTGTGTGGCCCCAGCCCACGTGTTTGTCGTTCTTCCCCCGCAGAGGGGGGCCATGGAGGGCGAGCCCCTGCAGAAGTTCTACCTGCAGCTGGTGCTGCTGCCCAAGGTGCTGCACTGCGCCCAGTACGTGCTCCTGGCCCTGGGCGGCCTCCTGCTGCTCGTCCCCGTCATCTACCAGATCCGGAGCCAAGTAAGTGGCGGCCGGAGCGTGGCCGGGCGGGCGCCCCCAGCCGTCCCTTCCTGCTGCCTCCAGGACCCTGGCGCCCACCTCGGGCAGCGCCCAGCGTCTGTGCTGGGGACGGGGAGCTGTCGCTGGGTGCTTGCATCTCCTGTCCTGCCTGCCATTGTCCGTCTGTCCTGGGAGGCCTGGGACCCCGGCCGTGGAGGGGCTGTGGTGGGCTTTGGGGTTGGGAGGCCTGGGGCCGAATGGCGTGTTCATCACGGGGGCACCTGCTGGGAGCCAGGCTGTCAGGGGCGGGGCGCGGGGCAGCGAACGGGCAGACGCTGTCCCTGCTCCCGGGGCCGGGGGCTGGCATTCCCGCCGGGAGACAGGGGAAGGCCGGGCAAATCAACGAGATCAAGTCACAGATGAGAAAGGCGACGGCGAACGGGAGCGGCTAGAGCAGGGCTCCCCGGGAGGGACGCGCCTGGGCCACGTGCGCAATTTTATTTTATTTTTACTTTTTAATATGGTTTTATTGATTTCAGAGACGAGGGTGAGGAAGGGAGAGAGAGAGACATCCATGATGAGAGAATCACGGGTCAGCTGCCTCCTGCACGCCCCCCCACTGAGGATCGAGCCCCCAACACGGGCCTGTGCCCTGACCGGGAATTGAACTGTGACCTCCTGGCTCATAGGTCGACGCTCAGCCACTGAGCCCCCGGGCCGGGCTATTGGAGGCTTTTCAGGGGAGCAGGGCTGGGCCCTCGGCTGTGCGGCCAGTAGGTCCTCAGTGGGAGGGGCAGACGCCGGGGCCAGTGAGCCAGATGGCGGCTGGGACCAGGGTGGGCACAGGTTGGGTTTGGAAGGAGGCACCCAACCCCTAGAGGCAGGAAGAAGAGGGGGTGACAAGAAGGACCCCTTCTTGACTCGATGCCATTCGTTATTCATTCATGGCATGGACCCCCCTCCGGTGAGTGAGCGGCGGACCGTTTCTGAGGCTCCGTGCAGCTTGGGGGACACAGAAATGGCTGGCGCGTGAGCCTGAGACCAGGTGCGCCCCACGGGGTGGGCCTGTGAGGGCAGGGCTCCGGGGGCTGTGGGGAGGGGTGACAGCTGTGTGGCGGGAGGGGACACAGCTCCGTGGCAGGGAGCCCGGAGAAGCCCTTGGGGATCCACGAACCAGAAAGCCACCTTGGTGGCCCCTCCTCGCCCTGGGGCCCCAGGCCAGGCCTTGGGGGCGTCGCCCAGCTCCGGCTGCCCTGGGCCCTCTGCAACGCCCACTCTCTGCCTCAGAGCTCTCGCTCCCTCTCTCTCTCTCTCTCTTTCTCGGGGCAGCTTGCTCTCTCGCCTGCTTGCTGGGCACTAACGACCCTTCCCCCTGGCTCAGCCTGGGCCTTCAGACACCCCTCCCGTGGGGGACGGTTCACACTGGTGAGAGCGAGGGTGACGCCATGGCCCCTGGCGTCCGAGCCCTGAGGGACATTGCCGGGGCCCCTGAGCCCTGTCACTGAGCGGGGCTGTCATTCCGTGATAAGGGAACCCCTACAGGTTTTTGGCTTAAATGACGCTGGGAGGGTGGATGGGGCCAGAGCAGGGCCCCCAGCCCATGGCTGCCTCCCTGCGTGGGTTTCCACTCGTGAACAGAGAGCCCCATGTGGAGGCTCCCGGGGGGGCAGCCAGGGAGGGGCTGGGCTCCTGTCCCCTCTGTCTCTCCTCATCATCCATCCGAAGGGGGCCCAGGAGGAGAGCGAGGACCCACGGGACAGGCTGGCGTGGGCCCCTCCCCTGCCTCACCCCCCAGCTCTGAGTCCGGCCCCCAAGCCCAGTGAGAGGTCGTTGCTTCCATCATTCCCATGGGCTCACTGGACGCCCCTTGGTGGAAGTTTCTCCCGTGATGTAGGTCTCGGCTTAGCCTGAAATCTTGCTATGCTTGTCCTGATTAATAGAAAGAGAAGGGTCATGCCCGGCCAGGGTGGCTCAGTGGTTGAGCGCTGTCCCATGCACCAAGAAGGCGCCAGCCCAGTTGTGGATTCGGTCCCCTGTAGGGGGCGTGCAGGAGGCAGCCGATTGACGTTCCTCTCTCATCGGCCATGTTCCTATATCTCCCTCTCCCTCTCCCTTCTTCTCTCTCTAAAAATGAATAAAAACGTATTTTAAAAAACAGCAACAAGAAAACAGCAGCAAAAGGGTCACCTCCTGGTGACCTCAACATATTTTAATTTCAGAGAAGTGTTTCTTCTCCATTCACTCTTTACAAAGAATCAAAAGTCTATTTTTTTTAATGTAGGACTCGCTTTTTTTAAAAAATATGTTTTTATCGATTTTAAAGAGAGGGGAAGGGAGAGGGATAGAGAGATAGAAACATCCATCTGCACACCCCCTTACTGGTGCGTGAGCCGGGAAGTCGGGCATGCGCCTGACCGGGAATCGAACCTGTGACCTCCTGGTGCATGGGTCCACGCTCAACCAACTGAGCCACGCCAACCGGACAAATCAGAACTCTTTTAGCAGAAAAATCTCTGTTTCTGGTTGATTTAAAATGCCACCTGCTCGACCCGCTGATTCCCGGCCGATTCCTCCCACCTCAGTTCCTAAATCCTCAAGTGGACACACGCTTTTCAGCACGGCCTGTCCCACGCACCAAGCGTGTCTCCCAAAGACACGGGTTCTCCTGTCCCTGGGGAAGGGCAGCGCGACTCCCCACATCTCGGCCAGCCCCCCTCGCTCGGGTGTCGGACTCTAGAACCCCGCACCCTCCCCCGGGCCTCCGGAACCTCCGGGAACCAGCGGCGTAACCCACTCCCGCACGGCCTCCCGCCGCCCATAACCGCGCTGGTTTCTTCCAGGAGAGGTGCTACCTGTTCTGGAGCCGCGATAAAAAGGGCTCGCGGGACAAGGAGGCCATGCAGGCCTACTCCGAGTCCCTGATGGCGGCAGCTCCCAAGGGCACGGTGCTGCAGGAGGCCAGACTGTAGGTGGGTACCAGGTACGCCCGCCCGCCCGCCCCACCCCGCCCGTAGCGAGTAGAACCCCGGACACGGGCGGGCTTGGTCGGCTTCTTCGGCCCGGATCCCCCTGGAGGGTCGAGGTACCGAGAGACCCCGTTTGTCTGTTCTGCTCTGGGCGCACAGCCCGCTCTTCTGAGGTTCCCAGCGAATGGCAGCATTCCCCCCCCCGCCTCCCCGCCGCCCCCCGCCCTCCCATCCCCACCTGGGGCGCCTCCTGTTCTCTGGGCTGGTGTCTGATCGACGAGGCTGTGTTGGCGAAGGCAGGATCCAGGTGTGGGAAGGCAGCCTCTCAAAGCTCGGGTGCGACAGCCTCGCCCTGGCCGGTGTTGCTCAATGGTTAGAGCGTCATCCATGCACCTAAGGCCGTGGTCGGCAAACCGCGGCTCGCAAGCCACACGCGGCTCTTTGGCCCCTTGAGTGTGGCTCTTCCACAAAATACCATGTGCGGGCGCGCACGTACAGTGCGATGGAAACTTCGTGGCCCGTGCGCAGAAGTCGGTATTTTGTGGGAGAGCCGGTATTTTGCGGTTTGCCGACCACGGACCTAAGGGTTTGATTCCCGGTCCAGGACACATACCTGGGTTGCAGGTTGGATAGCCGGCCCGGTTGCAGGAGGCAACCGATCGATGTGTCTCTCTGACATCGATGTTTCTGGCGCCCCCTCTCCCCCTCCTTCCCGCTCTCTCTTAAAAAAAATGGCCCCGCGGGCGGCTCAGTGGGTGAGCGTCGCCCTATGAACCAGGTCACGGTTTGATCCCCGGTCAGGGGTGTGCAGGGGGCAGCCGACCCAGGATTCTCTCTCATCGCTGATGTTTCTGTCTCCCCCCCCCCCCTTTCCTCCTCTCTGAAATCAGTAGAAAATATTTTTTTAAATGTTAAAATAAATACATGGGGAAATGTCCTCGGGCCGAGGAGAAAAAGGAAAGCAGCTCTGGTGCGGGAGCCTCTTCCGGGACGTTAGCTGCCACGGCAGCCCCTCCCTCACCCTCACCGGCAGGTGGACGCTGGGCGGGGCCGGAGTCCTGTTTCCACGGCCCCTGAGGGGATCCTGCAGCCACGGGCCCACGTGAGCCTGGGGGACTGGCCAAGAGAACTGGGGCACCCACTGGAAAGCCGCCCTGGGCCTGAGGGTAGGGTTGCCTGGATGGAGGGGAAACGGGCAGACACACACGAGGAAGAAACGGCAGCAAAAGGCCGCCCAGTCCGACTGGAGTTTCAGGGGGAGAGGGAGTGGCTTTGGGACCAGCGTGCCCCGCGCAGCGACCGAGCCGTGCTCCTCGGGTCTGGAAAGCCCCTCGCAGTTCCCCTGGGAACGGAATTGAGCTGGCTCCTTGACTGCACTGCACCTGTCAGAGGCGGGGGGGGGGGGGGGGGGGGGGCGGGGAGGTGACAGCCAGGCCGTGGGGAGCCCTCCTCCTGGGCCCAGTCCCTGTTTTTGTTTTTAAATTTATTGATCCGAGAGGGAGAGAGAGAGAGAGAGAGAGGTTTGTTGTTCCACTTACGGATGCGTTCACGGGTGGATGCTGGTACGCCCGACTGGGGATCGAACCCGAGGCCCTGGCGTCCGTCCCGGGAGGACAGGTTCACCAGCCACCAGCCGGGATGTCACTTTGTTTCTGAATAACGTGGGCCTGCGGGGGTTAGCCGCCCTGAGCCACGGAGGAGCCGGGAGCGGGTGAGGCGCAGCCTGCCGTGCGGGGCCCGCTGGCTGCCTCCCGCCCACTTGCTGGCTGCCTCCCTCCCACTTGCTGGCTGCCTCCCTCCCACTTGCTGGCTGCCTCCCTCCCACTTGCTGGCTGCCTCCCTCCCACTTGCTGGCTGCCTCCCTCCCACTTGCTGGCTGCCAGGCGGAGGAGGAAATAAAACAGAAGATGAGAAGCGGTGGGAGCCGGTGTGTTTGTGTTGGCAGGTGCTGCAGGCCCTGCGAGGGGGAGGGGAGGAGGAGGAGGACGGGGTAGGGAGAGAAGAAGGAGGGGGAGGGGGAGGAGGAGGAAGCAGAGGAGGAGGAGGAGGGAGGGGAAGGGGTGAACAGCTGTGTCCCCAGCCAAGCCCTGGGGAGCTTGCCCTGCACCCGGATGCTGGGGTGGCCTGAGGGGCGGCCTTGCTGGGGAGAAGGCAGGAAATGCGGCCTCCATGAGTCCAGAAGGATAAGTTTTTAAATATATTTTTATTGATTTCCGAGAGGGAGAGGGAGAGAGACATCCATGATGAGAGAGAATCATGGATCCTCTGCCTCCTGCACGCCCCCCACTGGGGATCGAGCCCACAACCCAGGCCTGTGCCCCCACCGGGAATCGAACCGTGACCTCCTGGTTCACAGGTTGATGCTCAACCCCTGGGCCTCGCCGGCCGGCAGCACTAAGATCGTTAACGTTGCCGAAGCTCAGGGCTAACATTTTGCCGAGTTCCGCCTTGTCTGGGTGTCAGAGTGTATGTGTCACCTGCTGCTGGCTTCCTGGTGACGGGCATTTCGGTTATTCGCGGTTTGGCTGTGATAACAGTATTGCTGGAGGTGTGGGTGGGGCTGGGTTGGGGGTGGGCGTGGGCGAGATGTGGGCGGGGCCTGACGACCCAGCTCCCCCTTTCTCCACAGGTTCCCCGAGATACCAAGCGCCAGCCCAGCCCTGCTGCTCAGCCAGCCGGGCTCCCCAGCCCCGGCACCCCGCTTCTCCAGGACGCTCCCAGCGAACAGCCTGCCAGCCCCAGCGTCTGACTGCACACGTGTGATCAAACACTGCACACCCCCACACCTGGCCGTGCGCACAGGTGTGTCAGACACGCTCAGGGATGGGGATGCTACCGAGGGGACTCGGGGAGCGGCGCACCAGCGGGAACTGTTCTGGAACCTTCTCCCCAAGGCCCTCATGGGCCCGTGGGCGAGTCGGTCAGCCACTGGACCACTGGGCCCCAGCGCCTTGTCCACCAGCCAGCAAGACAGGGCTCCTCCTCCCAGGGCGGCCGCTGCCCCGAAGCCCAGCCCGGGGGCGCAGACGTCTCGTGCCAAAGCCGGGGGAGGGGGGCCGTGGGCACAGCCCCTCACACAGGCCTGGGGCCGGCCCCCCACCCCCACAGGACTCTGGTCTCCTGGGGTTGGCGGTGGGGAGGCCCTTCCCTCGGCGACACTGACATGGAGCTGCATTCCTGAGCCGGCCCCTGGGGTGGTGGAGGCCCCGCCCCAGCTACCCCCCATGAGGGCCCCCCATCTTGGTGCCGGGCCAGAGGCGGGGAGGTCAGGGCCCTGCAGCCTGGGGGTCCGGCCTGGGGGGGGCCTGTCCACTCACGGCTTCCCGCCCCGAGAGCGCCTCTGTCTCTTTTCTACTGGAAGAAAAATGAGTTTTATCATCTTTTTAAAAGAATTCACTATTGGAGTAATAAACCTTTTAAAAAAGCGAGCACGAGTCTGAGACGGCCTGTTTGCTGGTGGGGGTAGGAGTGTGTGTGTCGGGGGGGGGGGCAACTTTCTGGGACGCTTTGGGCTCTGAGTCAGTATCTCTTTTCCGGAAGCCGCCCAGCCTCAGGCTGGGCTGCATACCTGCCTCTCCGTTGTTTTAAAATTTCCACGTGGCGTGTATTTCACATTTTCTGTATGCATTTATTTATTTTAAAATATATTTTTACTGATTTCGGAGAGGAAGCGAGGGGGGGAGAGAGGGAAACATCAATGATGAGAGAGTCACGGATCGGCTGCCTCCTGCATGCCCCACACTGGGGATCGAGCCCACAACCCGGGAATCGAACCGGGACCTCCTGGTTCATAGGTCGATGCTCAACCACTGAGCCACACCGGCAGGGCAAGTCTCCGCTTTCCTGTGAATGGCTGCATGGTCCCCAAGGTACACATGACCCCAGGGCCCCTCCCCACGGACAGAAGTTGTCTCCCGTCGGCCCCTCTGGCGAACTCTCCCAGCATCCGTTCCCTACGGGGCGCCAGGCGCCGTGCCAGGAGCTGGGACGTGTCAGGGACCAAAGCACGGTTGGGCGGACGCGTTTCTCCAGGGCAAACACGCAGGTGGCATTTCGGTCACTGAGCATCCACGTCAGCCTCTGGGATGGGGCCCGCGACCTCGGCAGCTGCCCGGCCCCCACCTCCTTCCACAGCCCTTGGGGTGAGGCTTGTGGACAATAACGGTGCTCACCCGACACGCTCAGGGGAGCCCTGCAGACTCAGAGGCCAAAAGTAACCACAGAGGATGGTCTGGACATGAAAACTGCTCAACAGCCCAGCAGTGGTTGAGCGTCGACCTAGGAACCAGGAGGTCACGGTTCGATTCCCAGTCAAGGGCACAGGCCCGGGTTGCAGGCTCCATCCCCAGTGGGGGGCGCGCAGGAGGCAGCTGGTCCATGACTCTCATCATTGACGTTTCTATCTCCCCCTCTCCCTCTCCCTTCCTCTCTGAAATATGTATATATAGAGAGAGAGACAGAGAGAGAGAGAGGTTTTTTTTTAAGGCTGTAAACCTGCCACTCGCACGCGCACTCTCGCAGCTCCTTGAGCTTGCCTCCTGGGAGCGGCCGTCCGCTTGGCTCAGACACACTCAGAGACTCTCTACGTTCTGTGCGTTTCCTACATCACAGGGTGAGCTCCCGACTGGTGATGGGCAGCTGGGCTTCCGTCCCATAAACCAGGGCAAAGCAGGCACAGGGCCTGGTCCGAGGTCCCACTTCAGGGCCCTAGAGAAATAGGTTCATTTCCGGGCCATTCCCGGCTCGGCCACTTGGGGGCGAGCTGTCCCCGCAGGTTGTCCAGGGACCTGCGCTCTCAGAGGGGCTGCAGGCGACCTCCTTAAATTGGGGGTGGTGGTGGCCCGAGGTCACAGCCTGGCTCCAGGAACCTGTAACCTTACGAGATTGCATTTCACGCATGTGTCCGGGCATTCCCCCCCCCCCCCCCCGGGAGCGTTTACTGAATAGTCTTCAGATTTTCAAAGGGGTCTCGACCCTCTCTCCATGGATCGTGTGGGCAAGAATAACTCCCGTAAAATCCAAGCCAGGGCCACGTATGTGAAGTTGCCGTGGCTCAGCATGGAACGGAATCATGGGCGTGCAGACGCGTGATTCTCTGAGCTCCCCGTTGAGGGTGCCATGGAGATGGAGCCTGCCCTGTGGGGTTGAGGACTGTTATAGAAGGTCTCAGGTGCAGGGCCCCCAGCAAGCATTGATTAGATACCTACTGTGTGCAGAGCACTTGCTGGGCACTGAGGAGTTGAGCTCTGAGAGGGCCATGTAGATGCATCGTTCTTTCATTCGCTCATTCATCTATCCGACAGATGCGTTCCCGCCCTGCCCTGTGTCAGACCCTCTGTGTATATCTGGGACTTGTGTGGGGTTGGGTCCCCCAGTTGCAGACGCGGAGGCAACGATTCTTGGCCAAGGGCTGTCCCAGGGCTTCCAGCTTTCCAAGGAAGAGCCGCAGGATCTGGGTTTGGGACGTGACAGCACGTGGAAGCCGGGGGTCCCCAGAAGCAGTGGAAGGGGGTCTATTTGGATCTGATAGCGCCCCAGTGTTCCCCACCTTGGAAATACTGTGGCGGACAAAGCAGGAGCGGTCCCTGCCCTCCTGGGGGGGCGGGGGGCGCAGTGAACAGGTACGCGAGTAGGTCGGATGCCTGCAGAGAGCACTGAGTGGCAGGGAAGAAGGAAAAGCGAGGTGAGTGATGAGAGGAGGTGTTGGGGGGCTGGGGGAGGGGCCACGCAGGTGTTGAGTGTTTCTAGAAGTGTCCTCGGAGCAGTGCCCTTCACGCTGTGTCCTGAAGGATTGGAAGGAATCCGGAAAAGAGCCCTTTAGGAACGGGGCCTGGCTGTGCAAAGGCCCTGAGGCAGCAGCGCGCAGGCCGGAAGTGGGTGCGTGTGGCTGGAGTGTAGTGAGCGGAGAGGGCGGGCGAGGGCGCTGGAGAGTCGGGCCGGGGCGAGTCCACAGGGCCCCGTAGTTCGGGTCCTAACCACAGTGGGAACCCGCTGTCGGGTTTTGTGGGGGGGAGGGGCCGGATCCTCCTGGGCTGTGGGGGGCGGGATCGCAGTGCCCCAGGTGTGGGTGCGGATGGGGTGGGATCGCAGGGCCCCAGGTGTGGGTGCGGAAGGATCCGCCGGGAGGCTGCAGTTGGGAAAACCTCTCCTGCTTCCCCCGCTTAGTCCGGTCCCGGAGCGCAGGTGAGACGCCCGGCAGGAGGAGGAGGCGAGCGTGACAGGGGAGGAAACCGAGGCCCAGGCCTCTCCGCTCCGCGCCCCTGGCTTCCGGCCGCTCCTCCAGGGGGAGGCTTCCGCGCTTTGCCCTCCAAGGCGCCCGCGTACTTGCCCTTCGCATTCGGACCTTCATTGGCTTCGCGCCGCCTGGGTCCGGGGACCCCCAGCTCCCGAGGTTGGGCGGGTGACCCCTGCGCCCCAGCGCCTGGCACAGGCCTGGCTCCGCCAGGTGAGTGCGAACAAGTCTTTGTTGAATGAATGATGGGGGAGCAGCGGGGTGATGGGGGCGACTTGCAGGAGGAGAGAGCGCAGAGCCGCCTGCTGTGGCTGCCCCTCTCCGTGCCTCCCCCTCCCTCTACCCTCCCCCAACCTCCCCCACCCCCTCCCTCCCCTTCCTCCTCCCCCTTCCTCTCCCCTTCCCCTCCCCCTCCCGTTTTCAGGCCGAGTCCTGCCCAGGGCCTCCCGGGGCCGGCAGTGCAGGCGCGGCCACCAGGGGGCGCTGTGGGCCCGCCCTCTGCAGGGTCCAGGGCGCGAAGGCCGGTGCCCACACGAGCCCCTGCGGGCGGAGCCGCGGGCTGTGTTCTGCGGCTCTGGGTACAGGAACAGTCAACAGCGAGAAGTGGGTGGACCAGGGCCTCCCGCTCGGTGCTCCCTGTAGGTGCACATTTCACACGTTAGCACTTTCCGCACAGGAAAAGTGCCCTACAGCCCTGGCCGGTGTGGCTCAGGGGTTGGAGCGCCAGCCAGCGGACGGAAGGGTGGCGGGTTCGATTCTCAGTCAAGGACACGGACCTCGGTTGCAGGCTCGGTCCCCGTCCGGGTCGGGGCAGGAGCGAGAGGCAACCAATCGATGTGTCTCTCTCGCATGGATGTTTCTCTCTCTCCCTCTCCCTCCCTTCCACTCTCTCTAAAAACCCATAGACGCCCTGGCCGGTTTGGCTCCGTGGATAGAGTGTCAGCCTGCAGACTGAAGGGTCCCGGGTTCGATTCTGGTCAAGGGCACATTTTGGGGTTGCAGATTCGATCCCCAGTGTGGGGCGTGCAGGAGGCAGCCGATCCGTGACCCTCTCTCATCATGGATGATTCTCTCTCTCTCTCCCCCTCCCGTCCTCTCTGGAATCTACTGATTTCTCATTATTGGCAACAAATTCCATTTAAATTAAATACTATGGGGGCCACGGGAAACGTGTCTGGGACAGGACTGAGCCGGTCGGTGTTGGACCAGTGCTTCCCTCTCGGTGGCTGTGTGGCTTCTGTGTGCACCTCTCCGGCGGTGCACCCCCTGCTGGAGGGGCGGGGTGGGTGGTTCCCATCCTCTGACCTCCCTGCGGGTGTTTATCTTCTGCACAAACAGGATTAAACAGGCGGCACTTTGGGGCTTATCAGTGGTGACAGCTGAGAGACTGACAGAGTCAGACAGAACTGGGTGTGAGTCCCAGGGCCACTCTTTCCTCGCTGTGTGACCTTGGGCAGGTCACTTAACCTCTCTGAGCCTCAACTTCCTTCTGTGCAAACCTGGGGGTAACGAAAACACCAATGTGGTGTGTGCACCACACCTCGCCTCCTCCCTCTGGGGGGCCCCCTTGGGGTGGAGTGGGGACCCCGTTATTCACTCTGGCCCACAGGCTGAGAGTGGATATCGCTAGTTGGCCCCGTGGGCTGCGACACTGAACTGCTGGGGTGACGACCTTCAGAACCCCTTTCCCTCTGCGGGTGACAGGCAAGGCAGAGGTGGCGGCTGCTCCGTCAGCCTGGCTCCCACCAGGAGGCCAGCTGCAGGGCACGGTCCAGTGGACTTGCGCAGCTCGAGCAAGAAATGGGCCTTTGCAGCCCGCCCGGTGGGGCTCAGGGGTTGAGCGCCGACCTATGCACCAGGAGGTCAGGGTTCGATTCCGGTCAGGGCACAGGCCCGGGATGCGGGCTCCATCGGCCGCGGGGGGCGTGCAGGAGAAAGCCGATCCATGACTCTCATCATGGATGTTTCTGTATCTCCCTCTTCCTTCCTCTCTGATGTCAATAAAAATATATTTTTTAAAAAAGCAAAAAAAGCTCCTCTGCTGTCCACCGGTCTAAAGGCGTGTCCTGTGTCCTTCCCCCCTGTCCTCCTGTCCCCCTGTTCCCGGGGACTCCCTCCCAGAACTGACCCCTCTGAACTTGGGGGGACCTTCCTTGGCTCCTGAAGACCCAGAGGGCTTGCAGATGGGATTTCCTC